TGATGGAGGAAGCCAAAGGGCAGCAGAGCTTGGCTTTAGACAGGTATGTCTTGGGCTGAGAGTTGCTTTCTCAGGAGGGACTTTAGAGGTTTTTCTCCCCCATGCAAATTCTCTTGTATCTAGTAGGTGGGAAGTTTCTGCTCCAGCTGCGTGTGCAGCCACCGCTCTCTTTTGCATTGTTTATGTTTATTATATGTATGTTAGGAAACTGTAGGAATGTGGTAGATTTGCAGAGCTGTCAGGTTGTGCTGAAATCACTTCTTAGGATCGCAGTTATTAGGGGGCCATGTGTGGGGACAAAAAACAGGAGTACAGAAGTTTGGATTCCCTAAGTTTAAAATCTGTCTTTTGAGTATTTAAATATGAGGAACATGTCTCTGAACTGGTTTGTGGCAACCTGATGGAAAGCAAGCCTGTCTTGCCATACCCAGACAGCGCTGGGCTGCAGAACTGTCAGCCCCTTGATCCACGACAGAATTGAGAGCACATCTCTGCACCTGCCAAGGATTTGGGCTGGAAAGAATAAAAGAAAGTGCAGGAGATAAGGAAGGGAGAAAAGCTCTCTGGAAAAAAGGACCAGCCAGACTGTCCTGCATCACTGGTCCGATGGGCTGTGCCAAACAATAAACACCAAGGTTCCTGAACAAATGACAAGGCTTTATTTCTTTCTGTACTGAAAGAAAAAAACTGGAAGATGTTAAAACCACCCCAGAACGTAGTGATAATTCTCCAAACACATGAACAGCAAAAACATTCCCAAGACACTAAAGCAAAGGAAACAGCATTACACCTGGACTGGTGATGGAAAGCCCATGCTTCAGCTGCCACTGCTTCCAGCCACAGCCAACATGAGCTTTATGCTAACTGGAGCTTTGGCTTCTTGGTCCCAGCTAAGGCACAAATTAAGACGCCTGACAGAGCTCTTCAGCTTATGAAACAGCAGAACATCAATCCTGTTAAACAGCTCAGATTAAACAACTTGCTGGTGCTGACAAGCCCAGGTTTTGATAAGAACAGCAGGAAGGTTGAGCAGAGAAGTGCTCCAAAGTGGAGCTCCAGCACGCCCTGGTGACAGGCACTGCCACCAACAGACCTGGAGATGCTCCAGTGCTGGACAGGAATCACTGTGTGTTACCTTAGCTCAATGGCTAACACAAGGACAAACCTCTGAAAGATGCTCTGTCATCTACATCTCAGTGTCTTATGCTGATAAATACCCCCTACCTTTTGCATGTAACCTCATCAAAACAGCTCTGCTGGCAGTAACCCAGACAAACTTTCCCCCAGCAACAGGCTGAGAGTGTCTAAACGCAAGAACGACCCTTTCCAGGCTCCTCAGGAGAAGTGAGACCCTGGGTCCATACCAAGCCCCCTGCTAAGTGCCCCAAACCAGACCTGCACTGCTATTGGAGGTGCAAGTCCATGGGGAGAGCTGGGTCGCCTCATCTGTAGTGTCTCTGCAGCCCACGTTGCTCTTCTGGGTTGTGAGGGCTTCTACAGAAGTACTGGTGGTTGAGGGCTGCCTTGGCTGAGATGCGCCTGCTGGGATCGTACAGGAGCAATTGCTGCCAAGAGAAAACCCAGCAGATTTAGGATTTAAAACCCAAACGGTGGCTTGCACCAGCGCACACCTGGGCCCAGATGCAGATATAGGTCCTGTCTTTTCCCCTCTCTGGGCTTCAGGAGTAACCCACTGCTGAAGTTACTGTGGGGATTATGCTAGAAGGGTTTATTGAGCCCCAGTGCAGTGGTTTCCTAGAGGAACCTGCAATGACAGCCCTGCTTCAGAGCCAGGACTGAGTCCTGTTTGATGATTCATTGTTTCTGCAATGGCAAAGATGAGCATCAGAGCCAGACCATCTAACATACTACCAGGTAGGTCAGTCCCAAGTATCTCTACTCTCTGCCTAGTTTGAGAAGGTCCTGTCTGTCCCCGGGTCTTGTTCTGATCCCTCACTCACCATCAGTAAGTCTCTACCATCTTGATCTAAGTTGGGAACAACTTCCTTTATCTCCTTCCTTGCCCAGCGGGGGAAGTCCCCCTTGTAGTCCCGCAGCTGGGTCACCCCCGGCCAGCTCGCCTCGGTGGGCGTGCCCAGGCTGCGAAAGATCCGGAAGAGCTGATCGATCTCGGAGTCCCCTGGAAACAGGACCTTCCTGGTCACCTGGGGGGAAAAAAGCCAATTCCCACCTTTCCATCCAGCAGGTCGCAGAGTGCTGTTTGTCCCTGCAGATGCAAACAGCTGCATCGACTGGGGCAGTGGCAGTGCAGTGATTCTGCCAGGCAGTGGTTGGGAAAGGCTTGGGAGTCTGCCTGCTTGTCTCCAGCCCCTCTCCATGGATCCGTGCTCCCCTGAGGCTGTCCTCCTCTCTGCCAGTCCCTCATCCCTCTGTCTCCCGTTTCCCAACACGTGCTCTTGCAGGGTAACTCCCTCCCTCCCTGCCTGCTCGCCCAGGCTTTGCTGATCAGCAGCTGGGGGCCTTTGGGAGCTAGGGATAGTGCTATGACACTGCAGGATAACAAAACCTCTTCCAAATGGAGCATGGACCCCCTAGGAGATCTGCCCTGCCATGCTATGAGAGTGCTGGTTCTCTGCAGCCTCCTGTGGGGGCATCTGCAAGGGAGTCACCTCCTCCCGGGATCAAATGCTGCTGCAACGAGACTGAAGTGACCCCTTCTGCAAGGAGAGGCATCACGTTCCTGTGTACCTGGAGCTGCAGTGGGACTACAAAGCCTTCTTTGCCTTCTGCCAGGCCCCTGAGGGTGGCAGATTTCCTTCCAAGCTCACAGGTGAGGAACAGATACTCCTCAGGGCGGACTTCCCGTACTACACACCCCAACACAGGGTGGGACCACAATGTCACAGATATTCTGTGTCTTGACCCTCCTTGCCCACTTCCCATTGCAGCTGCATCCTCCCTGCTCCTTAAAAAGATGTTAAAAGCCGTTCTACCATTTCTGCAAAGATGCAGCCAATGCTCCAGAGGTCCACAGCAGTGGAGTAGTATTTGCATCCCAGCAGTATTTCGGGGGCTCGGTACCACAGGGTCACCACCTGGTAAGGAACCAACACACAAGCGTTGTCTGGTTTCCCTGGGTGAAGAATGGCAGCTGTAATGCAGCAACTGTACAAATCAGAGTGTGCCAAGGACATGCTGAACTAATGGGCACCTTAGCGACAGCATGATTGGGATTAACAGATCTCAGCTTCATTGGGACACTCTGGAACAAATAAATACACACTATGAAGAGAAGGTCAGAACCCAGCTCACAGGCAGGCGAGGGTGGAGGCAGCCAGCACGCTCTGTGGGGACATGATGTAACCCCTAAGCTGCAGGTTAGGTTAAGATCACATGCCTGGGCACAGTCCTCTCTCCATTAGTGATGAGTAACTTGTGATGCTGCTGTTGTTCACCCACTGTGGATTGTGTACCCTACTCTCAGGTGGCAGGGAGCCTCAACAGTACCTCATGAGTGTACGTGCGCAGAGGGACTCCAAAAGCTCTTGCCAGTCCAAAATCAGCCAGCTTGATTGTTCCTGCTTCGTTAATGAGCAAGTTCTGTGGCTTCAAGTCCCTGTGGATGACTCTGTGAGAGTGGCAGAAGCTCACACCCTGCAGCAGCTGGAGCAGGTAGTTCTAAGGCAAGAAGAAATTTCAGACAAGGCCACAATGAAACCACTTTGAAGGCTGGATTGTGTGAACCAACAAACACACTTTGGATCATTTATAGACTTGAATGGGAAAAAAGACCTTAGTATAATACAACATCAGGCTTGTGGGCTACTATTCAGAGACGCACACCGACTGCTCCCACCCTACATGGGGATGGAGAGAAACCAATCCAAACAGTAGCAGCCCCTTCCACCCACCCATTACTCTGCACAAGGGCAATTAGCAATCAAACCCTCGGCTGTCCTTCAAAGAGCAGTTTGTTCTACAGCGAGCTAGGCTGGAGAGCTTAGAAGCATTTGGGAAATAAATGCAGTGAGCAATAGTGCCACGGTGTTTTTCCAGCTGAAATGTTTGAGATCTGAGGGGCTGAATGCCTCCAGCAGAGGATAAGCCTCTTCCAAATGCAGCCTGGGTAAGAGCAGCTCAGTGCTGGCTCTGCCCAGCAGAAGGCAGCAAGGATACACACTCTCTGCCCCGCCTGTTAATGCTCCTCCCACGCTGTACCTTGACCAAGCTTAAGGGAAGCTGTCCAGTTCGGGCTGAGTCCAGGTATTTCTTCAGGTCCTGATTTAGATACTCAAACACCAGATAGAGCTTCTTCTGGCTGTGTATGACATCCAGGAGCCTGCAAAAGAAGCACAAGCACTCCCTCCAGTACCTTTCAGTACCTTCTCCAGACCTTTGCTATACTCAAACATCCCTTCTCCCACAGCTGCCTCTGCTTTGTGAGTCCTTTGGAGCAGAGAGAAGCAGCATTTAGTAAAAGGCAGGAGCTTGGACCAGCCTGTGTTGTTGGAGTGAAGCAGCAGTGCTGTGAGTTGTTGCCAAGAACCAGGGAAGTGCACGTGATTCTTAAATTTTCCTGTTTATTTTACTCCTGTCTGGGCCGTCAGGGAAGGACAAGAAAGCCCTTCTTGCTGTCTGTACAGGAGAGCTCAGCAATAGAGCTGGTGGGGAGGGTTCATCCAGGTCTCACCTGACTATGTTGGGGTGCTTCAGCTCCTTCAGCAGTGAGATTTCTCGGATGGCAGTGCTGGGGACCCCCTCTGTCTCCCTGCAGCAGAGATGGGCTGTACAGCACCCTGTCCCCCAGTGGGATCCCACAGCCCACTAGGGCACTGTGTCCCTTCTCCCTTCCATTGCATCCCAGTGCCTGCCCAGGGGAGGATCTCCTCAAACCCCGCACCCAGAGTTTGGGGTGGAGCAATGCATGGGGTGGGCTGGGGTGAGACGGGGGGGAATGGAGTCATGGGGAAAGAGAGGGTGATCTAGACAGCTTGTTTGGGAGCACCCAAGGCTATGGAGAAGCAACAACTGTCTAAATGCCTAAACCTCCCTTTTCAGAGGTGGGGGAGATGAAAGCTCTTTGTCCCTGAGGCAGCTGCCTCCATCATCTTGAGGGGCCACCATGGGTTGCAGTCCCACCACCATGGCCTCAGGTCCACACCGACACCCCTCATTGCTAAGGCAGCCCAGGGCCGACCCAGGGGAGCAGTACCAAGCTTCCATCTGCTCAGTCCCCACCCTGGGGGGCCAAAGCTGGCCCTGCCGGGAGGATGAGCCTCACCAAGCCCGGACACCACACTCCTGAGGGACAGGCCCCCTCCCAAAATGATCGCTGCTTCCCTGTGCCAGGAAGCCACAGCCAAGTAGGCCGGGTCAGGCCCCAGCTGCTCGCATGTGCCAATAAAGACATTTTTTCCCTCATGTCAGGCTTTTTTGAGCTGTTTGCACTATTTTGGACACCAGGCTGTGCTCAGGGCCCTCCTGTTCACTTCTGTAGTGGGGCTGGGGCACTGCTGGGCTCAGCTGGTGGCCATCCCCCCCCAGCCGGCACTGCCAGTCCCAGAGGAGCCATTTGCCTTCCTCGCCCCCTTCCAGGCTCGGCACCCTGCTGCTGCCACGCTGAGAGGGCAGCCGGCCTGGCGCCATGGCAGGCCGGCCTGGCACCACAGGGCCCGGCTATTGCAGCCCCAGGGCCGGGGCTTTGCCCCACTCACGAGTCCAGGTGGATCTTCTTGAGGGCCACCAGCTGCCCCGTGCGCTTGTTGCGAGCCTTGTACACCACGCCGTAAGTGCCCTCTCCGATCTTCTCCAGCTTCTGGAACACCTCCTGCAATGTGTCCATGGCGGCGCCTCAGCCTTGCGATGGCAGCGAGGGCAGCCGGCACCGCTTTCTGAGGAAAAAAAAAGGAGAAAAAAACCCCAACTATTGTTCAGAATGTTTTTCTTCTCCCTGTGTGTCCACTGAGCTGCTTTTGGGGTCTGGGTCCCCCCTTGGTGCTCCCCCAGCAGCGTTGGACTGGGGAGCTGCAGGTGGACAGAGCTGCCTGGGCAGACTGGTGGGTGTCTGGAGCCTGGCTAGGGGTCTTTGGGCAGACTGGTGGGGGAGGGGTCTTTGGGCAGACCGGTGGGTGTCTGGAGGCTGGCTAGGGGCAGACCCAAAGAGCCAAACACACCCAGGACTAATTGTGACCTACCTAGGTTGTGCCGTGTGCTGGCTGAAGCAAAAATGGAGCAAAATGGATGTAAAGAGGTGCTTTGGGCCTGTGGGAGAGGCCACAGGGACTGCACAGGGCCAAGGGAAGCCCTGAAGCTCTCCAGGTCTATTTGTACAGCACCTGGCAGCAAGGGGATGGGGTATGGGACACACTCAGGTCAAACACACAGCAGAATTTTTGATTTTTGTTTGTTTGTTTGTTTTGTTTGTTCTTTTTTTTTTTTTTTTTTTTTTTTTTTTTTTTTTTTTTTTTTTTTTTTTTGTTATTTTCCTTTTTTTTGTCTTGTGCAATTGTCCCTTGAACCTCCCCACCGTAGGCTGTGCCGCTTGGTCAGCCCTTCAGATTATGACCTTGGGGGGGATTAATCATTGATTTAAGAGATGACAGAAGACAAGATTAAAAAAGTATTGTATTGTATGTTGTGGCACCAGAAAAGGTAGAGCTACTGGGACTGTCTTTTGGAGGGCTTGAGGGCTTCATGTCTCTGGATGGGCACAGCAGGACACTGGTTGTCTGGGTCTACAGTGCAGACCTCAACTATTAGCTGATCTAAAAAGGACTGATTAGTCCACCAGCACAATATGTTTTTAAAATTTATCCTAGTTTTGTCAATTTGAAAGAAGTAAAGAGTGGTGGCTGTTCTGCGTCTGAAGAAGGATCCACATAGCCACAGCAAACTCTGGTGGTTTCTCTATTGCCTTGTGAAGGCTGAGTTGGCATTCACATCTCCATCTGGAGTCACTGCCAAATTTGTTCTCCTCTTCCTGTCTGGTTAGGTTTGTTGGGATTTTTTATAATGTTTGTAGGAACCTGGTATTTTGGATATTCCCAGTCCTGCCATCTTGGATAGTCCCAACTCTGGCAAACCTGGCCATATGGACAAAATTTAAGTACAGGGAGGAAGGTAGGAGAACAAACAGATTAGGTGCAAACATAAACATATTATAACCAAGTCATCATTGTCCCTTACAAAACCAGGTTAATATCTTGCCTCTTGAGATCATGGTTCTGGACTTGGGCTGAACAGAGCACGTGCTGAGGTGGGGCTTTTGTATCCCCATAACTGTGTGAAGAAAAATACATGGCTAGACTATGATTACAGATAATAGCAAGTGCTGTAATTACTGAGCTGTCTCAGGCCCTTGAATCAAGCCTGCTGGTAACAGAGAACTTTGCCAATACCTGTTGCATTTGGTTCTGTTGCTGGGCAGCAGTTCTTATTTTCTGAGTATTTTAGCAGAGAAACTGAGGAAATAGCAGAAAAGGCTGCAGGTAGCTGAATTCCCCTGTAAACCATAATCCCAGCTCACTCCAGGTCCAGGGATTCCTATAACACAGTCTTCTCTCTCTTGCACTTTTTATTCTCATCTCACATTAGTGATTTTCTGTCTCTTTGTTGATGAGTTAATTCTGCTTCTGCTTCTGTTCTGATTTAATTCTGCTAGGTGGGCCTGTCACCATGTTCTTAAACCACAGTGGTGCTGATGTAACTTCATTTCATTTTCTTGCAACTTTTTCAAAGCCAAGCACTTCATTACACAACCAGTACTTAGGAGGAAGAAAACTGCATATTGCCAAATTTGCTTACATGGTCCATGGGGTTTCTGCATGGCCTAATGCATTTGCCTTAGCCAGAAAGAGGATGTTAATGAATAGAAGACAGGCTGCATTCTGTTTTCATCTTTATTTAAGAAAATATCAATCAAAACCTTTAGATGCTTAAAAAAAAATAGTGATTTAAGGTCTCACAAACTTAGTTGTGTCAAGGAAGAAAGTCAAGTGGTGGTTCTCAGAGCACTGCAAATATTTATTTTAGAGCTAAAGTCAATCTTCCCCCTTGGACACCAGCTTCTGAAAACCTGAAGAGGAAGGTACTACTGAAAATAGTGACCCTTTATTCTTCTTGTTTCTTTGTTGGTCAGTCCAGGTGTGAGTGTTTTGTCAGGAACACTCCTGTGTGGCAGCTGACTCACGGTAACCAAACACCTGCACTCGTGGCCCTGCAGCCACACAGGGCTAATGAACTTTGTGTTCATGCCCTTTACCTCCCATGTGTCCACAGCCTGGCAACCTGCTGTGCTTCAGCAGTGTCTGTGGGTCTGAGCCGGTCACCTCCTGATTTGGAGACTTCTTTTTCTGATGTCTCCAAGCCTTGTATTCCAAAAAGATCACTATAACTCCAGCACTCCCTTTCCTTAACCACCCTTTTAAACAAACAACAAACCTGATTCCCAGAGCTACTTGCAGTGATGACACCTAGCATGGACAGACAACCCCCAGTCACAGACTGACTCACAGTCTTCAAGCATTTTGATGCTTAATGACCTGACTTTGTTACTTGCCATGGCACAAAGCATTAGGTTGCAAAACCACCTTGTAAATTTACTTATAACATATTTGTTGCAAATGGCAATGTGAGGACCAGTGTACGGCTGTCTCAGAGCTGCTGTCAGGACATGCTGTCCCCAGTCCGCTCCTGCCTCTCCTTGAAGTATTCCCTCTGCTCCTGTATGGCCTGCTCCAGCAAGGGCGTGTTCATCCCCTCCACACAGGTCAATATTCGTGCCTTTACCACAGGCGCTCCACCTGGGAACATAAACAGAAAGTTTCTGTACAAAGAAAAACAGATGGAGCAGCTTGAAGGAAAATAGGGAGGTTCCCCCAGGCAACATGTGGCTCCAGCTGGCCAAATGGCCATAGCCTGAGAACCTGCAGGAGACTGGACCAGCCACGTGCCTCCACCGCCGCAAGCAGCAGGCCCAGGAGCTGGTTAATTCTGTGATGTGCTTTCGCTCTGCCCTGTTGGCTACAAAATGCTGGTGACTGACACCACGCTCTCCTTGCACTGGGGAATGCTAGCCCAGGACATATCAGTGTCAGTGCCTGCCACACAGCAGACTGCATGAAGTTTGGTTTTCCTTCTCTAAAAAGCATCAGGGATGTGTCTAAGCTTATTTCTGAGTGTCTCTGTGCAGACAAGAAGAGGACAGAACAATGCTGGGCTTAGAAGAGGCTCAATACTGACTATAACCAATAGTTCACTGGTGGCAATCAAATGGGAACACGGAGCTACAGAAATGGGGCCAAACCTTGGTGACAGAGGCACTGTCTCAGCCTGCTCCCTTTCCACTCCTGCAAAAGGGAGCCAACTCATTCCTAAGCTGTGATGAGCAAAATAATGTATTTCCAAAGAAATTTTGCAGCAGTGGCTTAGCAGGTTACTCACAAGATGCCACAGGCAGTGTGGATTTCCACATGCCACTGAAGATTTCAATGGCACGGATGCAAATGCTTGTTATCAGGTGTGGCCAAGACAACACTTAGGGTTTGCTTCACAACCCCACAGCCCAGCCCAGATCCACTCCCCACACAGAACACTGTGCAGCGGGAATAACACTCGGGGCACCTCAGGCATGGCCAACAGGGTGTCCTGTGTGACAGGAGCCTGCCTGCTTTCCTCACTCCCTGTGTCTGAGGGCAGGGGTATAATTAGAGCCTTTCAATGATGGCAAAGACCAATCCAGCCACCTCTCGATGAGGTATTGCTGCAGTCAGCCACGTTTGGAGTGAAGATGATGTCTGGCAATGATGCCAGAAGTCTTTAGCGCAGGTTTCACAAGCTCAGCGATGCTGACGATTTGCTAATGAAATCTGTGCCAGAGCACCAGCTCTTCACCAAGAAGTGGTGAAGGATGGTTCTCATGGTCAACGAGGAGCAACAGGCTGCTCCTGCATGCTCATGTGACCAGAGGCAGACACACGAGATGAGCCTGCCTTGGCTAACACTAGCCTCAGCGACAGTGTGTCTCACTGTTCCCCTAGGGAGCCACGAAGGAGCTGACGAACCATGAACAGCAGGAAAAGGCACTGGTTCTTGGAGTATTTACCTTCCCTTTGTTCAGCCTCTCCCAGGACCATGTAGCAAGATCCCAGCTGGGCTTGGAATGGCTCCACAAACTTGGTGTCAACACAGACCTGGTACTGAGCTGAGCTGTGCTGAGCAGTGAGAACAGCTTCGGACCGGGCCAGGTCGTAGAAGTTTAACCTGAGAGCAATGGATTTGGGAAGCTCAGCAGTGCAGAGATACACAATTAAAAACAAAGGGAGAGGGGCCAGCCAGTGAAGGGAAGGCCTGGCCTGCAAGGTGAGCCAGGTACCCTTCTCACCTGCCAAACGTCCTCAGCACTTCCCCCTCTGGGACTGAGCTGTTGACCTCCCATGGGAAGTAATAGACACCAGCACTTGGCAGCATCTCGCACACCACCGTTGGGCCTGCAGTAAAGCAAATGTTAACAGTTGGACTCAATGAGCTTCAACGGTCTTTTCCAACTTAAATGATCCCATGATTCTAAAGGATCACATTCCATGCCACACCAGTACCTGACCCCGATACTAGGTGACATTGCCCCAGAACTCCTTACTCGCCCCCACCCAGGAGGCTGCAGGAGCTTCATAGCTTCCCTGCCAACTCCTGTTAGCAGCACAGTGCACATGCCAAGCCCCAGGCACCCTGGCATTAAGAGGGGCTACCTTCCCCCACTGCCATCCAGCATGAACAGCAACAGGCAGCCCACAAGATCCTCCGGGTCTCGCCCAGGCTATGGATGGGTTGAGAACAGTTAAGGAAGTGGGAAAATGGTGATGGAGAAGTTCAGAGAGTGCAAGGGACACAGATGCAGGAAGAAAGCCAGCTGCTGGGGTGATCAGGTACTGTCCAGCAAGATTTAAGGTATGATCCTGACTCTGTTTTCACATTTTAGGATAAGAAATTATGGGAATGTCTGATCCTGCAGCTGGAAAACAAATACCTGGATACAAGCCAGCCTGGTTTCATCCATTTATTTAATTATTAAATGCCTGGCTGCAGATGCAGCCTGTTTTGCGCACCCTCAGTGTGCACAAAATTCAGCACACAATCCAACACGTACCTAGCCCTGAGTGCAGCCCCCTGTACACACTCCAGGCACTATTCAAAGCATGCCCAGTCCCACCTGCAACATCTTTATTTTGTGCAGCAGTTCACGCACAATTTAGCGCCCGCTCAGCCTCAAATGCAAACCACTGTGCGCACACCAAACTCGCATGGCATTCCCAGCATCAGAAATAGTGTGGCCAGCAGGACTAGGGCAGGGATTGTCTCCCTGGACTCAGCAATGGGGAGGCTGCACCTTAAATCCTGGGGTCAGTTTTGGGCCCCTCACTCCAAGAAGGACATTGAGAGGCTGGAGCACGGCCAGAGAAGGGCAATGAAGCTGGGGAAGGGCCTAGAGGCCAAGTCTGGTGAGAAGCAGCTGAGGGACCTGGGGGTGCTGAGCCTGGAGCAAAGGAGGCTCAGGGGAGACCTTCTGGCTCTCCACAGCTCCTGACAGGAGGCTGGAGCCAGGTGGGGGTCAGGCTCTTCTCTCAAGGAACAAGCAACAGAACAAGAGGAAACAGCCTCAAGTTGCACCCGAGGAGGTTTAGGCTGCATATTAGGAAAAATATCTTCCCAGGGGGGCGGGCGCCCCCCCTGGGGGGGTTTCCAAGCCATGGAGATGTGGCGCTGAGGGACACGGGTTAGCGGTGACCCGGCAGTGCTGGGCTAACCGCAGGGCTCGGTGACCCTAAAGGTGTCCTCCGAGGAGACCGACTCCGTGGTTCGATGCGCGGCCCAAGCACGCCCCAGCGCACCCTTTCCCGCACAGCTGAATTCAGGCCGGGCCCCGAACGCGAAGGCCCGTGTGCGCCCGACCCCCCGCGG